CCTTTAAACGATGTTTTTATCTTATCTTATCATGAGAATATTCTCCAGTTTTTAAAACACTTTTTCATATGTTACAGCCTATTCATGGTACTGGACGTCATTGCAGCCCCTGCCACACCGGCCACACCTACACCCATTGGTCTACTTATCGTCCTAAAAATTTGTGGTATTTCATCACCAGCCTATATACCATTGATTCTCAGTGTGGATTGGCTAATGTTAGTAGGGGAACAATAATTTGTAAACTATTTCAGTAAGAACTTGAAATTCAGACTTGTATGTTTACTGTTTATACCTGATGCTGGGTTTTTCATTCTTTTAAAGTTGTTCACACTTTTTTTACCTGTACCTGATTCCTCGGTCATTCAATCTCTAGCTATCTTTATGATTACTGAGCCTTTACCGCTATATTTACAGGGGAGAGTGACTAAATTTTACCTTTACAATTATTAGTACAATATCTATACTTGAGAGTCAGCTAAAATACTTTTAGAGTTAATTTTTGCTTTATATAGCTAAACTCCTATAACAAGGCGTTATTAGAACTATTAGAGTTTCTACATGTCACGCTAGTTACAATGTATTCGGACTTGTATTGCGCGATGACTGTAGTCAAACATCAATAGTAAGGTGACTAAGTAAGTGTACAGCGCGCCCCCAGTGGCTCAGTGGTAAGTCTTTGGACTTATAACACTAAAAATCGGGTTTCGATACCCATGATAAGCACAGCACAATAACTTTGTGCTTTACTGCAAACAAGTGTACAGCGGTTAGAGTGTGCAAGTCATGCGAGAACCACAGCCTATATAAAGTCGCAGTGAAACGAAATGTAAAGACCTACATTCTTACACCGATCGGTGTTCATATGTAGTGTGATGTCAAAAACTGATTGCTTTTAGGAAAGATATCGATGTAAAATATTCATACACGTAGATCATAAAATGTATGCATATCATGGATTTAAATTTCAAAGAAGACGGGGATGTGGATCAACTTTAGGCTCCAGGACTATCCAAAAAAGAGACTAGTAAGAGTCATGGTATGGAAAGTTCGGCGTATTGTAACAGATACTACCACGATACAACCGTTCAACCGTCGCATACTCAAGCAGTTATAGAATTAAATTGGTATTCCGTACGAAGAACTACTGGTCAAGTCGCTTACGTATTTCTATGTGATGTGATTGTTAAAACGACTGTTAGGAAATTATCATTCATATACGCTAGATGGATTATGGAAAGCCTGTAGTGGTGTGCTTTGGACATGACAGCCTTACGACGGAGTCTTTTGCAATGAAACTTGTTCTGTACAAATATTGTCAAGATGCATGGTCGTCAGAGCGTGAGTGCATGTGATTACATAGACTCTAACGACGAAGCGTAATATATACAACGAACTCAACCTTTGTTATCCGTGAGTTACAACAGGAGAAGCAAGTAAAACAAATAAAATCCTCCATAATCCCATATCATGTGCCCTCTGGTGAGACAGCGGTAAGTTTACCGATTCATAATGCTAAAATCCAGGGTTCGATTCTCCGCGGTGGGCATAACACATAGCCTAATGTGGTTTTGCCCTAAAACAAACAAACAAACCTATCCCATTTTATGAAATATTTTAAATTTATATCTCCTTGTTAAAAATAAACTCATAATGGCTCAAGAGGAAGAAGATTAGCATGCACAGAAGAAAATTAAAGAAACGTTTCAACCTGAACGTTACTAATTATATAGTGGAAATTTAAATATTTTGCTTTGAATCATTAAAGTAAGCCTAATTACCATAAGATTACAATAGAGGTTGTCCAAATGAAGTTTTACGTACTCAATTTTATTGTGTTTAATATTGTGTTTTCTACGCATAGCGAAGATTATCGTAATTATCTATAGCGTTTGTGATATTTTAACAATCGCATATTTATATATATGTATAAATTCAGAACATATATATATATATATAGAAATATGTAAATGATCTATGAACTTTGAATTCTTAATATTATTTTGGGTTTTTTATAGTGATCGGTTCCGGACAACTTGTAACGTCATAGGAGATTGCTACGTTGCTGCTTTTGTAGAAAAACTTTGTAAAGCTCCTCAAGGAGAAGATTCTTCTGCCTGCTTCGCTAACAACTGTCTTGAAGTAGTTGAAGAGAAAAATGTTACTAAGTTGTAAGAAAATGATGAAATGGTTAAAGTAGAAATGTCTTGAGCACTGTTGTTTTGTCAAAATATTATATTGGTTTTGAAGTGTTTGAGACGAGAGAAATAAACCTATAAAAGAACAATTCAATTTACTCCCTGCTCAACTGAAATGTCTATCAATGATAAAGTTTGTAGAAAATCATAAACTAAATATTTAGAGTAGCAAATATCTTGAAGCCTCGATTTTCCATCTTTCATTATTTTTATTTTTGTTGTATAAGAAGTGTATCAGAGTACTTAAAACTGAAAATAAACGTTAAAATAGTATAAGCTGGAAAGATGCCTGTCTTAAGAACGAGAACCCCTAATTCTAGAGCAGTTAAAATAAGAGGAGGAAGTTTGAAATATATGTGATATACGTCAACCTTAATACGTGATAAATATCATATCATGAACATCAGCAGAAACTTATTTCCTTTTTGATAATTTATTTATAGAATTAAGTACGGGGTGGCCAGGTGGTTAGGGCACTCGACTCGCAATCTGCGGGTCGCGGGTTCGAATCCCCGTCACACCAAATATGCTCGCCCTTTCAGCCGTGGGGGCGTTATAATATGACGGTCAATCCCACTATTCGTTGGTAAAAGAGTAGCCCAAGAGTTGGCGGTGGGTGGTGATGACTAGCTACCTTCCCTCCAGTCTTTCACTGGTAAATTAGGGACAGCTAACGCAGATAGCCCTCGTGTACCTTTGCGTGAAATTCAACACAAACCAAACCAGAGTTCACCAGTGAGTGAAAAACAAAATTGATGAAGTGATTTATTCTGCAAAAGAGCAATACAGTTGGTTATCTGATTTTCATTGTACCATGTGAGTGTATATATATTAAAATAACCTTTCCTTTTTTTTCAAGAAAAACCTAAATTAAATACACCCCATAATGGGAAATTTCTGAAAGATCGAAGCTTCCAAATTCATAAAAACTTGTAAACAAGCTGTGAGAGAAGTAAGATAGGCTAACAAAGCTGCGAGTCGTGTGTGATAGGCTCAATAAAGCTCTATGTCACTCGTCTCACAGCGTATGTGACCTATCTTACTCATTTCACAGCTTTATTAATCTATCCCACCCATCTCACTGCTTTATAAGCCTCTAACTCACTCGTCTCACAGCTTTTTTAAACATATTTCACCCGTGCTACAGGTTTGTTAATCTATCTAATTCATCTCCCAAGTTTGTTGCCCTATTCCAACCTTTACACAACTTGTTTAGCCTATTTAACTCGCCTCACAGTTTGTTCTTGAGCCTATCTCATTCGTTTCACAGACTGTTTAGACTATGCCAGTTCTTAGACAGGTCTATTACACTATATTTTCTTCTTACAGTTTTATTATCCCATTTAAGGTTCTACTGGTCTGTTATCTTATCCTAGTTTTCCAACATATGTGTGTTCTTCTAACACAACTATTTTTAGTTGAGCCCCATTGTAACTCTATTATCATCCCTCAATTAAATTACAACTCTATTTAACTTATCATAGGATGTTATGTGGCTTCCTTTTTCTGCATCAGTGTTGTCTTATCTCACGTGTTTTACAGTCCCCTTTATAAGTTTTCTTATTATATTTCCGATATTTTACAGTCTTTATATCTATCTATTATATCTAATGTCAGAATCAGAGAAATGACT